TACAGATTCAATGCAATCCCAATCAGAATCCCAAAGACATGCTTCACAGAAATAGAACAGAGAATCCTAAAATTCATATGGGGCAACAAAAGACCCCAAATAGCTAAAGTAATCCTGAGAAAAAAGAACAAAGCTGGAGGCATCACAATCCCTGACTTCAAATATACTACAAAGCTATAGTAATTAAAACAGCATGATACTGATACAAAAACAGACACATCCATCAATGGAACAGAATTGAAAACCCAGAAATAAAACCACACATCTACAGATAGCTAATCTTCAACAAAGGAGTTAAGAACATACAATGGAGAAAGGAAAGTCTCTTCAGTAAATGGTGTTGGGAAAACTGGACAGCCACATGCAAAACAATGAATGTATAGCATTATCTTTCACCATACATAAAAATTGACTTAAAATGGATCAAAGACTTGAAGGCAAGACCTGAAGCCATAAAACTCCTAGAAGAAAACATAGGCAGTACACTCTTTGACATCGGTCTTAGAAGGATCTTTTCAAATACCATGTCTACTCGGACAAGGGAAACAAAAGAAAAAATTAACAAGAATGCATCAGACTAAAGAGCTTCTGCAAGGCAAAGGAAACCAGGAACAAACGAAAAAAAAACCCACCAAATGGAAGAAAGTATTTGCAAATCATATATCTGACAAGGGGTTAATCTCCAAAGTATATAAAGAACTCACACAACTCAACAACAAAAAAACAAACAACCTGATCAAAAAATGGGCAAAGAATATGAACATTTTTCCAAAGAAGATATACAGATAGCCAATAGGCATATGAAAAGATGTTCAACATCACTAATCATCAGGGAAATGCAAATCAAAACTACACTAAGATAACACCTTTCACCTCTTAGAATGGCTATAGTCACCAAGACAAAAAATAACAAATGTTGGAGAGAATGTGGAGAAAAAGGAACAGTCACACACTGCTGGTGGGAATGCAAATGGGTGCCAGTATGGAAAACAGTATGGAGATTCCTCAAGAAATTAAAAATAGAAATACCATACGATCCAGCTACCACACTACTGGGTATTTATCCAAAGAACTTGAAATCTATAATTCAAAGAGACCTATGCACCCCTATGTTCACTGCAGCATTATTCACTGTAGCAAAGAAGTGGAAGCAACCCAAGTGCCCACTGATTGATGACTGGTAACTATATACAATGGAATACCACTCAGCCATTAAAAAAGACAAAATCGTCCCATTCACAACAACATGGATGGACCTTGAGGGTATTATGTTAAGTGAAATAAGCCAGACAGAGAAAGACAAACACCATATGATTTCACTCATATGTGGAAGATTAATTAACACATGGACAAAGAGAACAGTTTAGTGGTTACCAGAGGGGAAGGGGATTGGGGGTGGGCACAAGGGGTGAAGGGGTGCATTTATATGGTGACTGACAAATAATAATGTACAACTGAAACTTCACAATGTTATACACTATTATGACCTCAATAAAAAAATAAATAAAAATATTACCTTAAAAAATTATTTTCCAGTTAGAATAGGCTCCTTCTAAGAAAAGCAGGATCTTAATTAAGACATGAAACTTTTCTAATGGTAAATGGCATGAAAATCAATTTTGGTGGGGAATCTTCTGCATAAAAGATGGATGATGGATATATGTGTGTGTGTTTGTTTTAAATGTTTTAAAAAATTTGAAAAACATAAGCTTCACTGTTTCCAGGGTGATCCACAGCTCTTACGGATCTGAACTGACAGAAACAAGGCAACTGAGAGAGTTCTGTAATGACTTTCCTACTTCAGATATTACTTTGGTGCACTTCCTAGACAGGAGCCAAACGAGATGTTAGTGTTGAGGGCCCTGGAGATCAACAGCAACAAAAATGCTCAAGTTACCCGTCTTTAGGGGAAAAATACTGGACAGAGGTCCTTTTGCACGGCTTTCCTACCTATAACACTCCCGTACTTATATTTAAATGGTAAAATGCTTAATTTGGGGAGAAGTTTTTTGGTTGTTTCTTTTTATACTTGTACTATGTTCGATAGGCAGCATTAAACAAGCATAAATTTCAGAGAGAAAACAAAAATCAGAGGCAGTTAGCAAAGCCCCAGTAGTTACGGCACTACGCTACAAGTCAAGAGAGAGTTAGGAGTGGAAATCAAACAAGATGAGTCGGGGGAAACACAGTTCTCCAGCAACAAGATGAAAGAAAAGACTAGAGAACAGGGAGGAGGACTATGCAGATCTGGATGAAAATCTGTTCAAAATGCCTAACCCCCAACAAAGAGACTGGCTGAGTCTGACCCAAGGCAGGTCGAGGGCAAAGGGCTCTTCTCAGCTCATACAACAAATATACAGTCTCATAGTCTATACTAACAGATGTGCTGAGGCTATTTTGACCCAGTTTCGTTATTTATATCTGGGAGAAGCAAGGGATGCAGACAGTCTCCAGTACAGTCAGGAAGGGCCAGGAGGATATTTAAACAAAACAACAAGGACAACTTTGGAGTGGTAAAGGAAAGCATCTCACGCCTGCTAGGAATCTTCAGTCTACCTAGAGAGAATCATCAACAATGGTCCTAGGGACCTGAAACATCTGTCCGTCCATCTGAAAACATGTCTCATTGACTCCTACTTTGTGTAACCATCTCCGTAAGATACTTTATCCTTATCCATTAAAAAAAAAACCTGGACACAAAAACGCGGGTGCTAAAGAGAGAGCTTGGGCTAAAGATACACATTACGGCATCAGCAGCACACAGATGGTATGTCAAACTGAGGACTGGATAAGATCCCAGAGGCTAAAGAAAGGAGTGGGCCCAGGGCTCGGCTCTGAGGTGCATAGTGGATGAGGAGTCAGCAAAAAAGTCTATGGAAAATCTAGTGGGGCAAGAGAAAAGCCAGAGAATGTGGCATCAGAAAAGCTGAGAACGTTTCAAGAAGAAAGGCATGGCCATTTATGTCTAGTGCTGCTAAAAAGATCAAATAACATGAAGAAAAAAATGTGGCAAGTGGATTTGGCAACAAAAAAGGCTGTTGGTGTCTTTGAAAAAATGAGCTTCAGCAGAGTAATGGGGAGAGAAACTAAATTGGAGTTAGAAAAAAACTGGAGGCAAGGAAATGAAAACAGCACTTATGTTATAAAAGTTTTATGATGAAGGGGAGCAGATACGTGGAGTGGTATCCGCAGGTGGATGCTACACTAAGGGAAAGTTTTGTTTTGTTTTTGAAAATGAAAGCTCCATAAATGCAGACTTTGCCTTCTTCTCTGCTATATCCGCAGTGCCCAGAACAGCATCTGCCACACAGCAAGTGAATGAACGAACGGGAGATACAGAAGCAGGTCTGTAGTCTGACAGGAATATGCCAACAGAGAAGGTAAGATGAACAATGGAGACAAGAATGGATACGCGAAGGAACAAAGGCTCTGATAAGACTTCCCAGAGAAGGTCATGTCTAAACTGAGATTGGAAAGATGAGGAGACATCACCTGGAAAGCAAGGAGGGAGCAGGAACAGCGTTCCAGGCTGAGGGAAAGGCCCAGAGTCAAGAGAGAGGATGATATATTTGTGCAACTAAAAGAAGACCAGTATGCCTAAATTTTATACTGTGGGGGGGTTCATGAGTGGCAAAAGATGAGTCTGGAGAGGTTGCAAGGTGTGGATTATGCAGGGCCTTGAAGTGGCACTTTTTGAAGAATTTTAGGCAGTGAAGTAAAACGACTAGATTTTCATTGTAAATAACTATACTTCCAATGTGGTGAAGAATTGGAAGAGGATCATCACAGAAAACTAGTTAAAAAGCTATAACAGTAACCAAGTAACAAAGGCCTGATCTCGCCCAGTTACAACGGGGATGGGTAAAAGTAGACAAATGCAAGCGAAATTTAGGAAGCAGATAAAACCAGAATTAGAGATTAAGTAAAGGTGAAGGAAGTTTGAAAGAAAGAGAAAGAGGGTGAAAGTGAGACTCCTCCCTTTCGAAAGAACGAGAAAGTATGGGATAGAGAGACACCTTCAACAATGGAGCAGAACAAGTTATGATTTGACCATTTATTATCCAAGTAGTTTCCCATATTCTACCAACATGCAAATGACATTCTAAAGATACAAAAGGGTCAGGAAAAGTAGAGTATGAAGCTAGGCTAGTTTTGAATTCTTTGATATTCTGAGCAATATCTTCAGAAGATGGATTCATTCAATTAAGCCTTTAATGTTCAAATATCATCATAAAAGTTAATGGAACAGTACTAACAATGACTGCTTTAAAAACAGTTAGGTATCCCCAACCTAACATACGAAAATCTGGCCTTGAAAAAAGGGGGGTGAAAAGTTCCTTTAAATTAAATTTCCTTAGAAGAGTAACAAAATAATCTGCAAATGGTCTCTCCTTGACTCAACAGCATGCATTAACCAGTATTCAAGAGGGAAAATTCATTTTATACTTGACCGAAAATTGATGCCTACAGAAAAACTGTAAGAATCCTAAATTTGTGTACATGCGCAAAAACTGCCTCTGAATTTTTTTTAATCAGCAAACATAGAAAGAGAAGTACAGGGGCCGGCACGGTGGCACAGCAGTTAAGTTCACGCACTCCGCTTTGGCGGCCCAGGGTTCACAGGTTCTGATCCCGGGTGTGGATCAACACACTACTTGTCAAGCCATGCTGTGGTGGCATCCCCTATAAAGTAGAGGAAGATGGGCACAGATATAAGCCCAGGGCCAGTCTTCCTCAGCAAAAAGAGGAAGATTGGCATGGACGTTAGCTCCGGGCTGATCTTCCTCACAAAAAAAAAAAAAAAGAAAGAAAGAAAGAGAAGTAGAAAATACTCTTGGGGACCCATCTTCATTATTTTCCTGTTTTCCAAAGATCCTAAATAATAAAATGACAAGCATAAGCTATATACTTGACAGAGGTATTAAATTTTATCTTATACTTTCCTAATGATTTAAAAATACTCTTAGAAATATCTAGTTCTAACTCATTTTAATACTCACAATAAAACTGATGAAAGTGTTCCATTGTTGGCACACCAGGAACAAAGTTGTAGAGATGAAACTTCAAAGCTTCACTCTTCAGCAAGCTATAAGCCATCTCTGTAAGATTGATTCCAACTATTGCATAAGAATACCTAAGTCAGAAACATTACCAGTTATACCAGCTAGCCAAATAGTTCATAAAATAAATTTAGAATTAGGCAAGTAATTAGTAAAAAGTTACTTTGATCCATTTCTAATATAGTATTGATTTTATGATCATCTCTACATACTAAGAAAAATAAACCAGAATAGATCAAAATTTTTGTTCTTTAGAGGCTGTTGATCTTCTGGATATAATCTAAGAAATAAAAGTAAAGCTCTGGTCACATGAATATCTAAAACCAAAATCCTTAAAAAAAATTTAAAAGAGTACTACATACACTCATTGATTTCTAAAATACACTGGGTAATCTGACATTTTCTCCTCCATTATCAGGGTATTTATTTTTATGATGTAATATTGTTATAATGTTTTTTCAAAGATAGGTATCACCGGAATATAAAAATAAAATAATAATAAAGATAATAATATGACCTCAATTTGCATTTCACTTCACAATTTTCAAACCTATTTCTCATTTTCCTATACCTATTTCAAAGCTATTTCCTATTCCTATTTTCAAATCTATTTCTCAAAAAATTTTTATAAAGGTTCTTATCTCCATTTTATAGATAAACTATATCTTGGGATAAAAATATACTAAAATGCATACAAAATTGATTTATGATCACATTTAGCCTTAAAAATAATGTAGCATGCAATATCCTTTATAAAGTTCTTATTAATTAAAATAATCTCATCTTTAAAAATACCTTGAAATACTTCCAAATTCAGATCATCTCATCAATTTAAATTCAAAAGTTTACAGTTTCTTCCAGCTTACCCTAATTTTGGATGATTTGAACGGGAAAGAATCTGATGAGCTTCACTGGTATAATTTTCACTGAAATACCTAAAAAAGTTTAAGAAAGATAAAGAAATTAACATATGTCATTCAAATTGAAGATATCCAGAAGCAATTTAAAAAGCTACCGCCAAAATGACAGTCCTAGTACTGCCACAATGATCCCGATCTCCATCCCAAATCACTTCAGTGATTCAGAAATGCTTCTGAATCAAAAGTTAATTCTGAGCTATCAGGCCATCTAGCATAGGACATGGGCCTTGGCAAGACTTTAAAGTATTTTAATAAAGAAATGATCTCATAAGAGACTTTTTATCTACTTTAAAAAAAAAATCTAGAGTTCTTTTTGTTTGTTTGTTCTAAATTTTCTATAAAATAGTCAATGCGTACCTGTTGGGACACTCTTCCTTTCTCCTAGGCTTATTACTTCTATTACAACTTAAGTCTGTATTGTTTAATGTCATTTTCAGTGCAATCAGAAGAAAGTCAATAACCTTCCTTTTGCAGTAAAAAAAAACCCCTCCTTGACCAGTTGTGTAACTAAAATACTGGCCATAAACAGAAGTATTAGCAGGTACAACAGAGAAATATATAAAGCTATCTATTTGTAGGCTCATACATCGTGTTGGCTTGTACTAACGCAACTTCTTTGAGTTCTTGGAGATAGGGACCAAATCTTCTGTTCAACCTTTGGATCACCTCATAATGTACTGGTACTCATACATGTATACATACATGACGACTGACTGGATGTTTACGTGAAGATAAGGAGGAGAATAAAAAATGGATTTCTATGGTCTACTTAAATTTTAGAGGGCAAAATCATTGACATTTTCATAAAGCATAGAAATTTCTAACCAAATCCTCCCCTCTCTATTTTTTCTTCTACAGATAGAAGACTATAAACTTCCATTTTTCTTCACTGGCTCTAATTTTCAACTAATTAAGGCAGGGGTTGTTAACTTAGAAGTCCATGAATAAAGGATTATTCATGAATGAAAGGGGATCCATGAACCATCTTAAATTATGTATAAATTTTCCTGTGAGTACATTTTTTGGGGAGAAAATATACAAAGCTTTCATCAGATTCTCAAAGGGATCTGTGAATCTCAAAACAGGAAAGAGTCCTGTTTTAGTGCAATGCCTTCCTTACATACTTTCATTTTTCTACTTTATCCTTAGGTTGGCTCTAAAATGCCTATAGTAGACTATTTATATTTGCATTTCATTTTTTTACATGATACTCCTAATACAATTCAGTATTACATTAGTATTTCAATAATCAAGCTACTCTTAAAATATTTTATCTGTAACACAGGACAACTTTTAATTTTCTTGCTGAACTTATTTAGTCAACCCCTATCTTAACAGTGTCTAATGAAAACAAACATCTATGCAATAAGGAAAACTATTCCTTACAATAATCTGCATTAACTAACTTCCTTCCTTTCTTTCTTCCCTTTTCTTCTTTCCCTCTCTCGTCCTACATACATTTTTGACCTAACATATATTCTTATTTTCTGCTTGTATTCCTCATCTATTCCGATTTCTTCAGTCTCTCCTGAATTCATTTTCTGTACAATATCCTTTCGTCTTCTATGCCTCAGCATTCATTTACCTAAGCATCGTTATCTATCAAACCACCAGCTATCTTTCAAAGCAACAAAACATCTCAAGAGATTAGATGACAAAAACCAAGCAATTAAAAAAGTAAATTACATAAGAGTATTTGAACAGCTTGCCTGCTTCCTGACTGTATCTTTATTTTGATCCTGAAGAGTCACAGCTCCATACACAGGACAATAAACGTAATTATAGAGGAATCAGAGACAGCTTTATGTTTTCAACCATTTCTAGTACATCATTAGCAATGATATATGTGAATCTTGGTCATTTTTCAAATGAATAGATACTAGCTCTAAATAGAGTAAAAATATCTGTAAATCATTTAAAGGTCTATCAGAATCCCTTACCACAATACTGAATCAAAGCCTATTAAGTTATTCAAATTTTAAGCTAAATTCTCTTCTGGCAAATGCTGAAACATCTTGATTTCTGAGGAAAAGAGCCAGAAGCAAGGTTACACAGAAAAAGTTAAGAAAGAAAACACCATAATAGTGTATATCTAATTGAGGTTCAAATATCTGTGTACTTTACAAGTACCAAGAAGAAAGATAGTCTTTAAAGGCTAAGAACAAAAGATTCATGTGTTCTGAAAAATAATGAATTTTAAAATATTTTATAACTTTTCCAAGTGGAAATAAACTGCATTTATTCTACTTAAATTCCAAATGGAAGTTTCCATTTATCAAAATGGAAAACTGGCAATCTCATTTTTTGTAATTATTATTATTTTTAAGACTATTGCGGTTTATCTCTGGGAGGCAGACTTACAGGTAACTGTCATACTCATAAAATTTAGGTATTACAAGGGCCGGCCGGTGGCACAAGCGGTTAAGTGCGCACGCTCTGCTACGGTGGCCCGGGGTTCGCTGGTTCAGATCCCAGGCGTGCACCAATGCATCACTTGGCAAGCCATGCTGTGGCGGCGTCCCATATAAAGTAGAGGAAGATGGGCATGGATGTTAGCCCAGGGCCAGTCTTCCTCAGCAAAAAGAGGAGGAT